GTACGTGAGAGCAATGGAGACGTGTGCATCCATTTTGAGGATAGGAGCCCGTATATATGTGTAGATTAAGTTCTCAAAGTTTTAATCTTGTACCTTCTGTAGATCTCGAGATGAAAACTCGGTACAAATGGACGCACAGACAGAGATGCACACACAGGCTACCTCTCGACAATATGTGTTTTTGCATTTCAAAGATGCAAAAAACGAATAAAAACGATGACTGATTACCTGGTTATTTGATTTTTGTACAAAAAAAGGGCAGTGAGGCATCTCATATCCCAGAGACCGGGGCTCAGATTGCGACCTGCAACATACTCACATTTTCAATCGAAATTATCACCAATTATTAACAGTGGTTCCCGTAGCCCTCGTAACAAACATAAGTAAAATCGAACATCAGCATTGGCAACTCTGGGAATTTCGTAACGAGCATAAAGAACACGCTGCAACTGGCCGAAAAGATCATCCAGGCGAGTGACTGAAAATGATATACATCTAGCATTCCTCGCCAGAAAGTGAGGAAATGAACGCTGCCCTCACAAGGACGCTAACAAAAGCTGTAGCTTTGGTCATGGCGACTGTTGAGGCGTCATCAGCTGCAATGTTGACGCGCAGAAGAGTTTAATGTGAAGTAAGCACCGTCGATCAACGAAAATTTCAGAAGCAGACATTTTACGCAGTAATGCAAAAGTGATCGAAGTGAGAACAAACCCCGGATCTCCAGTTCAGTCCAGCGTGTTTGTTTACCCTGTGCACGCTCCTCCTCGGTCATTATGCGATGGACCCGCCACATACCGTTCAGCAGCTTCTTTCGACCGTCATTACTTTCCTGCTTGGTTAGCGGTCGACCAGCTGAAGTGGCCGGTTTCTCATTGCCGTGCGCATCACCATTTGTCAGTTCGAATTCCGGCTGAAATCCACCAGGTACGTACGGCGACGTGCTGTATCCTGAAATTTGCATTCTTTTTACTTTGAACAAATGTAAACAACAGAACCGGTACGGCTACAAATCCCATTTCCAAAAATCTGGATGCCAGATTTCCCGATTTCTGAAAGAGCAAAAGCACACATGATTTTTCTCCATCCCAATCACTAAAACCACTGGAAGTTGACTTCACGTCATTGTACCTCATATTTTTTTCTTGCAAAAACACTCCGCACGCCCAGAACTGCTATGCAGCCTTGTTAACTAGATTATGAACGACACAAACAGAGCTGCTTCCCTAATTTTGTATGAGTTTTATCACCTTAGCACCAAATTGATATAACTTTCAAAATCTGGCTCTACCTAATAGCTTTTTGGTTGTTAAACCAGTCCAGCTAAATTTCCCTCCTTTACGTTAATATCTGCTTCCTCCGGCTAAATTCTGCATCTGCACCTGTTCTTCCTAAATGAAAAATTTTGTAGTCCCAACAACGTTGCTCCCCCCCCCCCCCCCCCCCC